TTCTATGCAGCATGCCTTATGTCTTCCCCATCCCAGAGTGCGCCTCTTTCTCAAGTTCCAAAGTTGGGAGGTATGCATATAACTTACCTAAATGCCCTGCTTTTTTAGAAAGTTGTCCAATGCGATCTCCTGAGATCATGCATGAGGCTCCCTGGTACCTCTAGTGCAGAGGTTGGCATTAGCTTGATTGTGCGTTACCAGCCAAACATGGCCATTTGGCACGCAGATTGTGATTCCATCATGCCGCCCCTTCTGTCAGAAGCCACATGTGGTCTCCGCAAACTCTGCTTTGGCTAACCCACATGTACATCAATAACACATTCTGAACAGAAAAAGCCATCACGAAGATCTGCGATAACACTCCCAGCCTCACCAAGATTTCCCTTGGTCTGAGCCAGCCTGTTTGCTGGCTCAGGCCAGCAAACAGAGCAATAAGCACTAGGGTTGGCCAACACCAAAGTTAACCCTTTACACCAGGGGTCAAAATTAAAAGTTCTGAGCTACTAGCCAGGCCTTAAGAGTTACTCACCACCAGTTGCCCACCTAACCCCTACCCTGCCCCAGCCTCAACTCCACCCCTAAAACACACCCTCTTAAATAATCTTATAAATGACACTGTTACATGTTTTATGCAGAATAAAGTTACAAAAATTAAACAAGACCTTTAACAATATTAACATAAAGCTCTGTGCGCCCACATAAAATAATACTCTCCCCTTTCCCTGCGCGCCCCCCCATATAAAAATATTCCACTCCCCCCTGTTGCCTGCCCCCCACATACAAAAAAAAAGTCTCCCTCTTTTCCCTGCCCCCCCACATAAACCAATTAAGCCCCCTCACCTGCTTGCCTTTCCACTCGCCAAATGCAAGCAGGCAAGTGGAAATTTTGAGCCCTGCTTTACACTCAAAACAGTAGCTGCTGATACATGTTTTAAACGGAAACACACACTGTTATGTAAATGAAGCCTATGATACCACTGTCCTTTCAAACAGGAATATGACGACAGGTTTCACTATACGGTTTCTCTTCGCAGAGACAAGGATACTTTAAGCTTCTCTACACTCTAAGAACTTTAAAGTCATTTAAGATTGTCCTTTAATAAAATAAACTGCGTGCGAGGGAAAAAAAAGACAAAAACATGACAGCAGTAAAAATAAAAGGGACCAAAATTAAGACTAACAGTCCTGGGTTTTGCAAGTCTAATTCAATGCAACAGAAGATGGATCTAGGTCACTCTCTCAAAAGTAAGGCCAACAGTTTGGTCTTGATGGGAATACATCTTTTTTTCTTTTGCTGGTACACAAAGCGTTCTGTGCATGTTACCAGGATCCTTCTTTGAATGGTATGACAAGCTTCTCAGCTGCCCCCGCAGCAGCTTTTTTTCAGTCCTCTATGGGGTATCACTGAGCCGGCCCATAAGGCAGGGCTGGGGAGGGTGGGCAAGAGCCTTCACGATGTCCTTCTCTGCTCCTCCCAAACTGTCAAAATTTTCATTTAAATAAAATTCCTCCAGGTTCATAGTTTAGTCCCAAGTAAACTGTAGATTGTTTCATAAAATTAGCTTCAGATCAATCCCAAACTTTGCATGTGTGTGAATTGTGGCTGGCCATTGTAACCCACCCCTGATTGATGTGTGGATTTCTCTTGGAGAAATAAGCCAATTTTCATAACTTTGAATCGGATAATATTGTAAAATGAATTGAATAAATGGCTTAATACTGCAACAGGACAATTACTGTGGTATTCGCTATTTATGACACCTATCATAAAGAGACCATTAAGGCTAACCCACCCCATGTCTAGGGGGAAGCTTTAGATAAACAATCAGGTTTAAGTAAAGGGACCAGCTTTGCAGATCTGGAGCTAGAATTAAGAAGGTCTAAACAAACTCGAGATATTAGGAATTCTATGAGATGCTCAAATTCCATTACCATCACACTGGAGAGTGCTGCTACCCTCCCCTTTCCCTGATGGACACATCCGGCTCTTTCCTTGCACTATTGGGTGCTGCATGTGGGCTATAAAAAGCTTGCAGCCTGCCTGCCCTCCCCGGGTTACCTCCCTGGCCAATTTCATGACTTGACAAATGCCAGGAGCTGTATGCCAAAAGGCGTGTTTCTGCAGTGTCAAGTAGCAGACCCTGCACTACCATTACCATGGATCAATCCCTGATAGCACCAAGTTCAATTTCAGATAGGAAAGAGGAACATGTGCCAGCAAGCTGCATGTTGTCATGAATACAAACTGTGGTGTCCTTTACCTTTCAAGCATGTAATCATTTGATACAACTATTTCCATGAAATAATTATGACTGACCGAACAGTGATTCAATAAAAGATTGCTTTTGTCAAAAAAATCCCTCCTCGGGGGGGTATGAGATGAGTGCCAAGCGCTGCAGGACCAAGGATCAGCTTGGTAAAACTGCTTTATTTGAGCCCCCTAGAGAAAACTATCACTCAACCTAAGTTTTCGATTTTCCCACAGTTCTCCTTTAACACTGTGCCCTGCAACAGACTGTTTGGTACATTGTACTTATCTGTGCTTGTTCCACCGTAATATTTAGTGGCACAGCTTCGCATTCTTGACCAACCAACCCCACGCTCAGACAGGCAACCCAGAAAGTGGCAGCCTAGCAAAGTCATGCAGGATGTATCATTTGTCAAGCTATACTCCACTACTAAATACACAAGTGCTAACATTGCCCAGCGAGTATTTTCTCATTTAGAAAAATGTAAAAAAAAAAAAAAAAAGGCAGAAAGATAAAAATCAAATGAGTTAAAATTGCAAATTTTATTGTCAATTCTGATTAAACAAGAACCTAGTGCAGTGTTTTTATATCCAGATCTCAAGTGTTCCTTGCCAAGAGGGTTTTTATTAAATACAGATAGTTTTTTTAAAACAATTGATCACAATTTGAAAACACTATCTTAAAACAAGCCTACTACATTGTATTTGAGGAAAGGAAAAAAAACCACAATGCTAAATGGGCATACTATTTTTCATTCAAGACAATCCTAGCCAACAGTTAAATTCTTTCCCTTCTACATATACACTTCTACAGTCACCATCAGCACTTCCACCTAGGATCTTTAGAGAATGAGGTGTGCCCAGGTACAAACTCCACTGCAAAAACGGCTCTCACTGAACCATTATACAGAGGTCTGAGGGTGTAGAATGTATGAAGCACATGCCTGCAACAGCACCAGTGCAAACCATGAAACAAAGGTAAAAATACAGCACCATTTACAAATTTAGCATTAAATTGTTATCACAATATGTGACCACATTACACTTCACTGACAAGCCAGACACATTGTTTAAATCAACACTATCTGGGTAGAGCTATGTGCAGCAACTGCCTGAGTAAATAGTTATATTGAATGAACAGCATAAAAAAAAAAGAAGACTGGTTAAATTAAGTGGCTTATTTTAAGTCATACAGAACCAATTTATAAGTCTGGTATCACAGTAGAGCGACTACACTGTATAGCATTTAATATATTCCAAAGAGCATCACCCTCCATCCTCTCAATACAAGAATTAATGCCAGCTCTAAGTGCAGAACTAGTTGGACCTCTGAGATCAGACTGTTCAACACCGATTTAAACTAGAAGCCATGCTGATGAGTGGTGCAAGGTCTTAAACATTAAATTATTCCAGTGCAATGCAACTATAACCTGGTTAACTAAAAATAAAAAAATTGACAGTTACAACAGGAATCCTTAACAATTGCTATGAATTACTACATTAGCACATGAGAATTCATCCAATGCTTGGTTTTCCCCATCATATTTATGAAACAAGATCTACAGCCCGAAACACTATAGAAGGCTAAACAAATCCACAAATTGGCCACTCAAACCTGGATGGCAGTATTTTTCTGAATAAAGGCAAACTCCCAAGTAGTATCAGAAAGAACAGTGGGAGGCATGTGTAATGTGTTAATTGTGCTTACAGTCCCTGCAGTTATGTGAACAGAATTAGACGCCCCATATGGTTTCTCTTTATGTTAGTAAAGTCGTTCTAAACAATGATGCAACTTCTCACAAAACTTCACTGCAGGTGATTCTTTCTGGCATGCATTTTAAATTATAGTAATTTAGTCACCTGCAGTAAATATCTGGCAAATGTCACATTCCCCCCACTTTAGAAATATGCCCAAGACTTCTATTGTGTCAACTAGATCCAGTTACATAAGTGGGACTGAAGCACAAGGTACATGTAGCACAATGCACACGCAAGCATTCTGCTTTTGGAACCACTGTGCTAGCATCAGTTTTCAGAGAGCTGCATCCCATAAATGACAGTACAGAAGTATGTATTCACTACACTTACCGGTGTAGCGTCCCAAGATGCAATTCTCCATGAACCTATACCAACACTGATACGTAGAGTTCTCCTTTAAAATTTAACTAGCTTATGGGTAAACTGACTCATCTTTGTACTCAACATCACTAAGTTTATAATTTTGGAAATTGGCTAAACATTCTTGTTTGAGAACCTATCTGTGGTCCTCAAAAAACCACCCCCAAAAAACACACCTAGATGAAATCTGCAAACAGAAAAAGAACACAGCGCTCTTAGGAATGTGGGGTCTGTGTGGGTGCAAATGATCTGGATTGCTGCTCTAAGAACAGGGGGAGAAACCTGTGAACTGGGAAAAAGTTCCTAGATGCAATCTGGAGACCTTCGTGCCATGTTAACCACACTTGCCACAGAAGTCATACTTGTGTGTCATGGTTAAGGTCATTGAATAGGCTTACAATGTGCTGAGAATGTTAAGTATTTATGTCTCCACAATCATTAACCATCTATGAAGTACAACAATGCTGGCAGTAAAGAGAAGGAAGGCATGAGTTCAAAAAATACACTAGTGTAGCAGTCTGTTGCAAAACTGCCAGCACTTCTAATGACCTGAGTAATGCAGCAGGAGGCATCAGTTCAGTCCTGTCAAGCAAGTTTTTTTTCCTTCAAAAAGACAGTGAGAATTGCATCTGTATACTATGAATGTGGGCTACAAAATAACATCTAGGAGAGACAGACAACATTGAAACTGAGGTCACTGGTCTTCTGATGACTCTGCTGTACCCCCTTCCTCCTCATCCTCCTCCTGCTGGAAAGAATTTAAGCAAAATACATTTTAGGATTAGATCCACAGAAGTCACTGTAAAAACATTGAGTATAAGGATGTATAGAATTAACCAAAGGCCAACTTCAGCTTCTAAAGATGTATTTTAAGGAGGTTCAAGGACTGCTTCAAGGAGCAGACAATTGTTACAGTATGCCAAACAGTTTCTAGGCCAGTCCTTGTTCCATTAGCAGTATAAAATGTCAGTGTGGTCATTAACCAGCCTGTCACCCTACCCTAAATCTAGATAACACGCCTTGTTAATGGTGGATGGAGTTTGAAAACTACTTCTATGAACACACACGAAAGCTTGGCAAGGAAATTGGGGTGGGGGGTAAAGCAAGGCACGTAAAAGGGATCATGACTGCAGTAAACACCAAGGCAAATCTCCAAGTGGGAAATGGACATCAGAATAAAAACCTAAAACCCACAAAAAAGACAACATACATGAACTAGATGAAGCACAGATTTCAAATCAGTATACATGTATACTAAGCCGGAGGAGCTTTTTTTATACAGTAATAGTGCCAAATGGAGATTGTGGTTGCATGAAGTATTAATGGAATATAGCCAATTGCAGATGGCAACATTTATTTACTTTACTACTGCAACAAACTCCAAAGCACACTATTCCAGCAGAGAGATGGCACTAGTAACCGTTCTGAGAACATATTTACAAAATATACATGCAACTGAAGTCTAAATTGACTTGAGTGGAGAGGGATTAAAAACAAGTCAGTTGTCATTGCTGTCTGTCTCTGCTAGGGAGATTCAACCCCAATGTGTTCTGGTGACAGTTAAAGAATCCCACGTTTGGGTTGTCACCAGAACAGGAACAGATGGAAAATCTGGGGACACTAGGTCTGGCTTCAGTTCTATTTTAATGTCCTTAAATATGAATTGGCCTTAATGGTTGCTGTATTCCCAGCATTCCGGTTAACTTTTTAACTACCTACATTCATTCAGAATGAAGATAAAACATTTCACTATAATTTTACAAAAGCAAAAAAAAAAACAAAAAAAAACACTTACTTGTTTCTTAGCAGCTTGTCTTGTTCCACTTGCTTTTCCACTTTCAGATTTCTAAATGCAAAAAAACAGCAGAAGGCACCATTAAAAGTTCCTTCATTCAATAGGCAGTGGGCTCTATTGTAAAAGTAAATTCATTATCAGAAACATGTAATGGAAAACCACATTTCCAACAAACTTGTATGAATGATCAGCCAGGGGACAATGTTACAAGTACCAGAAGCAGTGGCAGACCTATGGAACAATGGGCCCTGGTGCAAAAATGCAGAGCTATAACAGCTATAACAGCTATAACAGCTATAACAGCTATAACAGCTATAACAGCTATACTCCTCATTCATTCTATTGTCTCATACTTACTCTGCACAGCCAAGGGGTAAGGTCACACTCTCCACTAAACATTAAACATTTCTGAAAATATAAATATCCAAATTCTGATTTCTTCTCTCCATTGTTAATATGAATTCTCTACCTTTACTTCTCACTATTTGGGCCTCTCTTAAACTGTTTTTTCCTCACCCCCCCTCTCCACCCCACAATTTATATATTTCGCCCTCTCTTCTGCCCTCTCCCTATTACTGCACTCATCTCCTGCTCATTCTAAATCCACATGCTAGGTTTACCTCCAGGACACTGGGGCATGTTCACCCGTACAAAACGCCCTCATCTCACTTCACTCACCCTTCTGCTTCTCCTGACTTCAGGGGATATCTCTCCCAATCCCGGCCCTCTCTTTTCTAACACCCACCTTCCTAACCAGCACTGCCTTTCCACTGGCAGCAGCTGCAATCCACACAACCTGATTTCTATTTCCCTGCTTCCTAGAACCGGTCCTCCCTTCTCTTGTGCCCTCTGGAATGCCCGCTTTGCCTGTAACAAACTCACCACTGTGCATGATCTTCTTATCTCCAATTCCTTTAACATGCTTGCTGTTACTGAAACCTGGCTTCAGGAATCAGACTCTGCCTCCCCTGCTGCCCTTTCCCATGGTGGCCTCCACTGAACACACTCACCCAGACCCAATGGACGGAAAGGAGGTGGTGTGGGTATCCTTCTACCCCCACAATACACTTTAAGTTCTGCCTTCACCTCCCTCTCTTTTGAAACTCACTGTATTCGCCTATTCGCTCCAATTTCTTTGAGGATTGCCGTTATCTACCGACCACCTGGACCAGTATCTCGCTTTCTTGATGACTTCTCTGCCTGGCTACCCTACCATCTCTCCTCAGAAATACCCACTATCATCCTTGGTGACTTTAACATTGCTACTAACATTAACTCCCCGGCTTCCGCTCAATTTCTTAACCTAACCTCTTCTTTGATCTAACTCAATGGACAGACTCCTTCTCACTCTGATGGTAACTCACTTGATCTTGTTTTCTCTCACCTATGCACTCCTTGCAACTTCAACACCCCTTTCCCGCTCTCAGACCACAACTTGGTCAGTTTCACAGTCACCCTGTCCCCAGCGCGGACTCACCCTACACATCACACTGTCACCCGGAGAAACCACCACCTTGACCCTTCTCTTCTCCACTCTGCTACTGACTCCCTCTATGACAAGATCTCACCCATGTGCTGCCCTGACCTGGCTACTTCTGTTTTTAACAGCTCACTCATCCTCTAGACACTTGGCCCCCTTCACAACACGCAGACTTATACCACGTCCGCTAGAACTGTGGCAAACTGAAGTTACCAGACATAAAAAAAACACAAAGCCACACTCTTGAGCGACTGTGGCGGAAAACTGGGTCTCTGCAAGACTTTACCCTGTACAAAGCTGCCCTCCTAAAATATAACTCCTCCCTCCGTGCTGCCAAACAAACTTATTTTGTCACTCTCATTAACACTCTCATCCAGACCTCGTCAACTTTTCTACCTTCAAGTCTCTATGTCCTCCACCACCACCACCCACTAACTCACTCACTGCCCAGGACATTGCCACTTATTTCAAAAACAAAATAGATGCTATTCGGGATCAGATCGCGACTGTCCAATCAACTTCCCCTATTAAATGTACCAGACCCTCCCTCACACTTGTTACTTTCCTCTTTTGACCCCGTCACCACAGAGGAAGTTACAACGCTCCTCTGACACCCACCTCACCACTTGCTCCCTGGACCCTGTTCCCTCAAAACTACTTCGGTCACCCTCTTGCTCTATCCTACACTCTTACTCACATTTTCAATCTTTCACTCTCTACTGGAATCTTTCCCTCCCCTCTAAAGCATTCACTGGTCACCCCAATACCCCAAAAAACCTTCACTGGACCCTGCCAACCTCAATAATTTCAGACCTATCGCCTTACTCCCATTCACCTCTAAACCACTAGAACGCCTTATCTACAACCGCCTGAGTTGCCACCTCGCTAATAACCTTTTGGACCCCTTTCAGTCCGGCTTTCACCCTCAACACTCTACTGAAACAGCCCTCCTAAAACTCACCAATGACCTAATAACAGCTAAAAACAACGGCCACTATTCCTTACTCTTGCTATTAGACCTTTCTGCTGCTTTTGACACCGTTGACCACCCGCTGCTCCTCAAAAAACTCTCCATCCTGTCTTTAATTGTATTGTATTGTAATGTCTTCCTTACATTGTAAAGCGCTGCGCAAACTGTTGGCGCTATATAAATACTATGTAATAATAGCTATAAGGGACCACAACTCCCAGCAACACTCTACAGAAACGCAGAATAACTCCATCAGTTATAGAGGAGCAGGCTAGAAAACTTGTCTAGCTGGATGAAAATGGACAGGTAAATGGTGGTGTTGTACAACAAAAATCTCATGAAAACTGCACATGCTCAAACAAAAATCTGTTCAAAGGGAAGTTCTCCCCCAGCATGAGAAGACATGAGGATTTAAAAGGAAGAGCAGCAAAGAGAAGGGAAACTACCATGGATTACAGTAAGGCACACATTACAGTATTGTTTTATGTTAAAAAATCTGAGGGTTTAATGTCACTTTAAGGTGCCCATACACTTTATAACCCTCGTAAGACAAAAGGGTTGTAAAGTAATTAAATAAAACCGTACGATCTGCCCATCTTGGACAGGCAGATCGTACTTGCAATCATCGCAAGCCTGCCCCCCCTGAAGGGCGGGCTTCCGATGACTGCAATGCTGAACGGGCAGTGTGAGCACAGCGGCCCGTTCGGCAGTCATCTCTCAGTCATGTTAAAAACCTGCCGAAAATCGTACGATTCTCGTCTGGTTTTCCAACATTACAAATGGTCGCACGCCTTCCATACACTGCGATTCACGTACGATCGCGGGATTTCCCACGATTCTCGTATGAGAATCGTGCAGTGTATGGGCACCTTTAGACTAAACACCCCACCTGGAACATATTTAAAAGTTTAAACCAAAGTTCAGTTGGGCTTTAAAAATGGGGGCAATCTATTAATCTTTAAAATAAAACTCAAATCTACATTCGCACTCCTGCAAGCTCTATCCTAGAACAATTGAAGTAGTACTAGATATGAGTAACAAACTAAAAAGGTGACAAAGTGAACTGCATCTACAAGGAATGGTATTTTATTGTAAGACATGCACTTACCTTACTATTTGAGGCTTTCTTTGTGCTGCCTTTAGGGCGACCACGTGGACGTTTTGTAGTGGGAGAACCGCTTGGCTCCTGTATAGAATTCTGACATTAGGAAATCTATACTAAATGGTTCAATCTCAAATTCAATTTGCCTTACAAATTAGATTTGACACTTATAAGCACTGAGAATTCTGCCTAGCTAGCACAAAGGAACTGTATTCACTTCAAAGTTACAAAAGGGAAAAATGCTGAATTACTTTAGTCTTACTGAAATAAATGTCAAATACACAAGTTTGACTAATCAGGAAATGTTCTGCATAAAAATAGGTTGTTGTACATCTTTGATACAGAAGAGAATACAGCAATATAGGTCAAGTGTATCCATGCTACCTTCCTAACCCAAATAAGTACTGGGTCACCAATTATTCTATGTGGTCGTCACATAAAAGAAACACCCTCTCCAAAGTACCTGCACATATGGGATTCTTACCTGCAACTTTTTATTGCCTGTACCATTACCCACAGGCTGTCAGGTAGTGTAGTAAATGTTTAAAGGAGAACCATGAGGTGAGTGCTTTTCACTCACCTCATAGTTCTAGCTGACCTGTGACAATGAGACTGTCACAGGTCGGCTTAGTAGATCGGGAGGTGAGCGAACACATACCAGCGTTCGCTTACCTCTTGATCCTGTCACGTCTCTCTGCCATGACAGGGGAGGGAGTGGATTCCACCCTCCGATCCGCCAGCGCTGACTGGCGGAACGGATGGGGCGGGTACAGCTGGCTCTGCCTCTAGGTAGGCAGAGCCAGCTGGGTCAGTCACGCAGCTGGGCGGATCCAGACATAATTGTCAGGATCCGCTTCAGCCGCGGCGTCTTAGTATACCGCGAGCAGCAGCTTGCGGTATACTGAGCCTAGGGTGACGGGAGGACGCTAGTTTGTGTCCTCCCGTTACCCTAAGGAGAACTATGGGGAAAAGCCCTAACCCCATAGTTCTCCTTTAAGAGCATCTAAAAAACAGACTATTCCAATTTATTAGAACTAAAATACTGTTGTGCACATAAAATTAGCTAAGTTCTCAGTAGAATTCTGCTTTAGACTCCACTGAAATGAATGTTTCTTTACTGTACAATGGCAGCAGACCAAAGAGGTTGCTTTATGCATTTCCCAGTATTCTCATGGCTATGCCAATTTTCTCACTGCCTTTTTGGCAATTTGTACCAAGCTTGATGCACTGATTACACATTGGGCCATAAGAGCATTTGGTTCTGCTTCCTATGTGTATTTACCCTGAAAACCAACACCACCTAAAAATTTTTAGTTTATACTTTTTTCTGGCAAGCTGTGTTAAATCCTCACGCTGAGAGCTCTGGATGCCACTTTTACTCATCAGACCCAGGTGTTGGATAGCATCCTCCTGCCAACACCTTCATCACTACAGAGTCCATTTATATATTTAGAAATAAGCCGGTTCGTTGCCATTACCACCTAGGACAGTGGTGGCAAACCTTGGCGTTCAAGCTGTGCCAAAACTACAAATCCCAACATGCATCTGCCTCTGGGAGTTATGTCTGTGGCTATCAGAGCCTTGCAATGCCTCATGGGCCTTGTAGTTCCAAAACAGCTGGAGTGCCAAGGTTCGCCACTACTGACCTAGGAGGTACAGGTAACAAATGTGACACAGAGCAGCTAATAAATTAAGGTAAAAAAAAAAAAAAAAAAAAAAAAAAAAAAAAAAAAAGGTATGTAGCGTGACCGATATGAATATGGCAGAAGCCTTCATTATGTATCCTATATCTGCAATTGAAAGAACACTGAACACATAATGGGTCCTGTGAAACAGCAGTACCTGTAAAAGCTACATGCTCTTAGGATCAATAGCTCTTATTGTGTGCATACTACTTCATCTGACTTCACCAGCCACAACTGTCGGGGTCCTCAATTTCCCCAATACACAAGGGAAAATCTATTGAGAACATGTTGGCTATCAGTTTCCATTTTAGCCAGGATGAGAGGTTCGGCATTTGCATTACAAAAAAAAAAGCACATGTAAAAACTGCAGCTTAAAATGCTTCACAGCAAAATGCACATGACCCAGTGGTGAAGTGCACCCAAGCATATGCAGTATTGCAACTTCGGCATGGCTGTATTACAAAACAGTGTCAGGAAAACCTCAGGTACCCAGTGTACATAGTCCCTTCTAGCAGCAAAGAAAAAACCCCAAAACCAAAACAAATCAAAAAACACACCCATTACTATTCCTTTTTGCAGTAGAGGTTACAAGAGTGACAAGATGAGGCCGATTTACTAAAGGAGCTTAGAATCTTCACTCAAGAAATGGTGAATTATCCAATCAAGTGAAAATTCAAAAAAATTTGTTTAAGTGATCAGCACATGACTAAGAATCTTCATTCAGTTGCAGCTGTGCAGCTTGTATTTTGTGTGGGTGTCCCCCCTGCAGCCGATCCACTGTGCCCAGTGCAGGCCAGAACCGGCATGGCAGGTCTGTCACCAGAGATCAGTACTCTATCTCCCTCTGATCTCTCCAGTGTCAGAATGCAGGAAGTGACGTTCATCACTTCCGCATTCAGCTGTCATTCTTGGCTACAGAAGTCGATCTCTGCTTCAGCAGCTTCTGGGGGTCCCTAGGCGACATTAGGGGCCTTGGAGACCCTTGATGTCCTCATAAAAAGGACCGGTCAAGTAAATTGGCCATCACATGGGGGGTGCTTGTTAGCCCCCCATGTGATAGCAATAAAGGGAAATAAAGAAATTTTAGAAATTAAAAGCATTAAACAAAAATAAGTAAGCCCCCATCACCACATGAATCGGGTGCACCTACGTACGAAAACCCATGATTGCGCCGCACATGTTACATATTGCCGCGAACGTTTGATCGTGAGCAATCATTTTAGGGCCATCAATGAACGCTAAAAGCTGTTAAAGCAGGGGTAGCAAACCTCCGGCCCTCCAGCTGTAGTGAAACTACAAATCCCATGATGCATCTCTTTTCGGGAGTCATGTCTGTGGCTGTGAGAATCTTGCAACGCCTCATGGGATTTGTAGTTTCGCCACAGCTGGAGGGCCGGAGGTTTGCTACCCGTTTTAATGTGTCACTTATGGCCAATTTTGGGCGTTGATTTGGGTGTTGAATTTTAAGGCTTGACATGTTTGGTGTCCATTTACCCAACGTGACCCCGTCTTATATGTTACCAAAAAAATTGGTAAAATACAAGTATTTGTTTGTGATAAATGTTTCATAACATAGGGAAACAGGTTTTTTTTTCTGTAACTTTTCAGTACTTTTTTTGTTATATAGTAATAAAAAACTCCAGTGGTGATTAAATACCATGATAAGAAAGCTGTCCCCAAAAGAGGATTTAAAAATAATTTTAGTACAGCGTTGCATGACTGAATTAAAGTCAAAGTACTACAGTGCTGAATACTGAAAAATGGCCTGGACAGGAAGGTGTCCAGTGGTTAATCAATGTACCCGCAGAAATGACTATTCCTCTTTTCTGGTCAGTAGAAGTGATTTCACCCTAGCAAAGCATGAGACATATTGTTAGCCATGTAACACATTTGCGTTGAAGCTCAAGTGTGAAACCATAACCAAACTGGCTTAAAAATGGGAATATAAAACATTAGTTCTGCGTACCAATGTTTGTAATACCTCTGGAGCAGAGTCACTTGCGTGGCTTACCATACTCACTTTTGCATTAGTTTGTGCTTGGGAAGGAGAGGTTGATCTCGCTGGTTGGCTTGGGGCTTCCTAAGAGAAAAAAGTTACAGGAATATAGGTTTACCATACGCGTTTTTTTTTTTCTTTTTAACTACCGTGAAGCTTGAGAAAAAAAAATGAATTGTAACAATATATAGCTGTTCCTGGAGCTGGCCTTTCAAGTTTATGTCTGAATTAAAGCCTAACATGTCAAATACACAAACCATAGTATAAATATACATTACTTTTTTGTTTTTTGCATTAAATATAATTCAGCTTAGCAATTGTTAGATGGGGTGGATACATTGAGGGGCATTAATGAAAACGGAGGCAGACAAAATCTGGAGCAGGTGTGCACGGCAACCAATCAGCTTCTCTTTCATTTTCAAATCTTAACTGAACAAACTGAAGAAAAACCGATAGTTGCCCTGGGCAGATTTTGTCCTCTCCAGTTTTGATAAATTCCCTTTGTCTTTTTTCCCCAGCTCCCTCTACTTCCTTTTATTACCTGGTAATCTGGACAACACCACTTCCTGCCCTTGTATGGCTACATGACTCACTCCACTATATCTATGGAGGGAACCATGATTATTACAAGGCTGGACAAGGTCACGTGAAATGCAATAGAGCCATTATGTTAAGATGTTTTCTGGATGTTGATTATATGAAATAAAAACCTCACACTGATCCTGGAGTGCTACAGTTTCCTTATATTTGGATAGGATTACATATTCTGAAGTTGGAGCTCATTCAGTTTAGTAATGCCAACTATGGCAAAGTGGTTAGCGCTCTTGCTTTGTAGCACTAAGATCCCAAATTGGATTGCCATCAAGGACACCATAAGCATGTTGCGGTCCATCAGTGTGCGATTTCCTTATTGTGATCGTTTGCGGACAAGTGCTAAAGAAAAAGCATCAGTGCAACATAAGTGAAATAATCGCAATAGGAATGCATGAGTAAGAAGTATTTTACTACAATTACTCCTCCCACCTGTGGCTTCTTCCGTGGACGACCTCTACCACGTTTCTCAGTCTCCTCTGTAGAAGCCCCCTTTGCGGCTGCCTTAGCCTTCGACTCACTCATGTTGAAATATCTGCAAGAAGCCAATACATGAATTTATAAGCGATTTCTATTGAAACCTTATCCTACATCATGGAAAGTGTCACATGGAAATAAACGCACCAGGAATGTCAAAGTTTTCACAATAATGTAATGATGCCTGTACAAAATCAGGTCCAGGACAGAAAGAATTACATGATGGGGCTTAGAAGAGGACATAGATTTGGCTATTTTGCATCCAAAGAGTACAGCAAAGTTGGCCAGGAGACCTAAGGAGTGCTAGTCGCTGCCTAATTGCACTTGTAGCTTTTCAGTTTGAATGGAAGGGATCTGAAAAGGCCAAGGGCCTTAATCGCTGTTGATTAACATGGACCTGAAAACTTACTGGAATGGTTTCTTGAATTCTGCCTGAAAAAACATCAAGGGGCTTATGGTAAGTGACTGTACCCAGGTACATCTGTGCCCCGTCTCACAAATTCTGTATATCAGTAGTGTGATATCAGCCTTAGCACTGCTGCCTCTGGCTAGTCTTACAAGATTGGTGATGACACTACTGTGATGCATACTGTTTTCCTGAGGGGTTGTTGGAAAGAAAGTTTTACCTAAAAGATCTGCAGTGCAAGGTCTCCTTACTTCGGCTTCATTCATTCTGTGGGTTTTGAATATTGCTACAATAGTCATCAGGGTAGCCGCTCTGACATGAGGAAACACATCTACCTCTCCCTACCAAAATGGCTGTCCTATATAGCAACAGAGCAAAAAGCATGGTAAGCCAGTAATGGGGGAAACATCTGCCCATTTGCCTTTTCTCGGGCACTGCCTTCCTAGTACAGGTTGTCTTAATAGCCAACGTATAAAACTGCTGTGGTTCTATCATGCACTAGAAAAATACTTGCAAAAAAGGTTCCTTTTGCTTTAGATTTCAGGAACCACTTTGGCCAATCGAAAAGCATTTATAATATGCTGATCTCAAAATAAAGTGTTTGTTTTGGCTACCCCTGTGGTTGGCTCAATTTTACCACTTCCCCCTCAAGGCTAGTCAATAAGTGGCCAATCTCACCTGCCTTGAACAGGTAAGGCTCAGTAAACCAATTTACGATATCCCATAATTCATTTTTCAGTCATAAAAAACACCCATCAAGTTTAAACTGGAGATAAAAATTAAAAGCCATGCATCTTTAAAACTCTAAACCAGCAGGTAAGTCAGATGAAGGCAAAAAATTACTTCTGAAGTGCATGCTGTAGGGAAAAATAACCCCCAAAAAACAAAAAAACACTTTGGGATCCCCAAAGGCAATCAGATGCTCATCATATCAACAATCTGCAGTTTTATTTGTTATAGATACTGAGCTAGTTATATTTTTTTTAGCTGCATTTGTTTGGTTTTCTGTAGACTTCCGTTGGTCTTTTTCCTGGGCAGTGGATGGCAACACATCACATTTTACACTGTATATGGCTTTGACTGCCTGACCGATGTAATGGGTTCTCTGAGGTGGGCATGTACCCTATGATGCTCTACCTAAAAACAAACTGCTTCATCTCACTTTGTTTTGCATGCTCTTATGGTTCACTCACCTGTGCATAGACTGGTGTAAAAATTGGATGCATTGTGCAAATATGAACAGCATGCAAGATGCGTTCTTTAGAACATATGACTAAATGGACCTGCATGCACTGGGGCAAAGGCAGGCATACAAGATATTACAGAGCCAGAGAATGAAATGCAAAAAATCATGTTAAATTGTAGGGAAAGGCTAGATTTATTTCCTCCAAAAGTGTTGCCTACCTCACTGTGGTTATAAATCTTCCATATATGTTTGTTTTCCTCCAGCTTTGCTTCCTGTATGCTGGTGACACCAGCCCCTTAATAGAAGCATGGCTGTCACCGAGGGAGAGGGTGGCTTGATTTGGCACAGAATTATAATATAGCATGCCAACACACCTCACAGGCACAACCCTTGAATTTGCATAGCACAGAATTTTCAGACACAGCCCCTGTATATCTCTCAACCCACACCCATTGACTACTTTTGGTGAATGAGCCGGGCCGAAAAATTGTTAGCTGAATAGTGACACAGCCAATCTGCAGTCACTTCACTTGGCCCGACAGTGGCAGGCACCATGACGTCTTCCCCCTCTCATCCAGAGAACACTTTATGTTAATTGAATACAATGGTGGAGGTGACGAGCGAGCAACTTCCTGTTTGGTATAGACACGGCAAATTGCTTGAGCAGCACTTTGAAGAGAAACGCTGGCTGTATGTAGTACAGGCTACTACAGTGAATTTCTGCATCCCCACCTATCGTCTGTGTGTATTACTGGCCAGATCTCCAGATGGAAATAAAGGGGGAAAAAAGGCTTAAAAAAAAAGGCTAAAGCTGGCCATATACTGGAAATGGAAAGTCAACTGCTGACCAGTGTGCTACCCATACCATTGCCACATTTGACAAAAGGAGCTGCGCTGTAAAGTCTTGCTCGAACAGCACCTGTATTCAATCAGCTGTAGTCACAGTTTGGGACCGCAATACAATAGACTGGCAGAGGGTTACCCCCATCTAGGCTGGTAACATGGATGGGATAATCCAGAGTTTCTCATTCAGCACCACAGGGCCTAACAAAATTTTTTTTTAAAGTGCGTTTAGCAAGCTGAACGCAACCACATCTAAAGTTTTGTTCACCCCTACATTTTAGGTGCAATTTTGTAGTCCTGTGTGCATCAAGAAGAAACCCTATGACCAAACTATAACTAATAATCACCCTAACTATCCACTCATCCCAAGACCTCCTGCTTTCCAGCTCCCTTGTCAACTCCTCCCATACTCACCTCCAGGACTTCTCTAAAGTCTCTCCCATCCTCTGGAACTCTTTACCCCAACCTGTCCATTTATCTCCCACCTTGACTGCCTTTAGGCATTCCCTAAAGACTCAATCTCTTCAGGGAATCCTATCCCAACTCAACCTGACCACGGAACCATCACATTCTCAAACAATTCATCCCCACACAGCTACCTCCTCATGTATCACTTGCCCCTCCCTTTTAGATAGTAAGCCCTCAGGGGCAGGGCCCTCCTTACCATCTTGAATTGTATTAAGATTGTAATGTCTTCCTTACATTGTAAAGTGCTGTGCAAACTGTTGATGCTATAAATCCTTTATAATAATAAATAGAGTCCCACCCCACTCCTGACCGAGAAGCCCCATATAATGCGGGGGGGGGGTTGGGATGCTGAAGTGGCTGTGTATGGCGCTGCCAAATCCTTACAAAACAGAAAGAAAAAAAAATGGTCACCAGCACGCCAAGTTTTCTTCAAAACAAAATCCTTTTATTCATTCATGCAGGTCATATCACCATACGTGGCATGCATGGTGATATGACCTGCATGAATGAATAAAAGGATTTTGTTTTGAAGAAAACTTGGCGTGCTGGTGACCATTTTTTCTGTTTTACAAGCTATAACCAAGACCCAGGTTTTGGCTGAAAGCTACTTTGTGGTTTTTATGCCGAATTAAAATAAAAGTAATATTTGGAGAAGATCCCTGTCCCTATGCCAGCGGTTTAGCATTATTCCTGCAGCAGAAATCCCAAATATGCAATTTAGATGGCAGCTGTCACCCATCCAAGTTAATGATCGAGCATTTGAAAGCGGCAGAACACTGGAACTCCGCATGTAATTGTATCAGATACAATTACATGTAGTTAGGACTAAATCACTATCCCGGATGCATCGATCATGTGTCCAGGGATAGGGATCCATTCTTAACTGCATGTAACTGTATCACATAGGATTTCATGCAGAGTGCCAGCGTTCTGCTGCTTTCAAATGCGGCCACTGTCACCCAATCTCCAAACTGAACGGGTGACAGCTGCTGCTTCTGAAGGGATATTTAGGAGTCCTGCTACAGGTATAGTAAAGCACGCCTAAAGTGTAGGTGTGAACGAAGCCCAAGGACAGGTAGGCTGAACTAGATGACATTTGTGTTCCTGGGTGTAGATCTACTTTAATGACAGTCATCACCCATACTTGCATGTCATGCCACAAACCTAACAAGCCAGATATACCGATTGCTAAACACGCATCAGCAGCCAGGTACACCGATTGCTGAACACGCATCGGCAGCCAGGTACACCGATTGCTCTACACGCACTGGCTTACACCTGTTGATAGTTGGGATCTATGACAGCCCCCACCCTTCCAGGCTGAATGAATTTCAGCTGTCAAAGTTCATTTTAAACTACCAGACCAGATTTTGTACTGCTGCTCTCATTCATCCATCACCTAAGAACACATACAGACATAGAATAGATAAAAACCCTGAATGTTGCTATGTAGGTCATTCTACTAAACGTGCTCATGAAACCCAAGCAGGGAACAGCGCCAGGTGCAAGTTCGATCTAACCAGAGGCGCCCATTAGAGTCCATCTGCCAGCAAAGTCATTGATCATGTACGCCCTGCTATACCCGTTTACCCAGGACAGGGCTGAGCCACATCCATCTCCCATACAATCCACCTTGCAGCACAGCAGCCCATAAGCATTTGCCGGCAGCTGAATCCATAGAAGCCATCTGTGCAATCTATACACCAAGCCATGCAATAGACCGCCGCGGCCGTGCGACCAGGACATCAAAGAAACACACACAGCCGTCCCAACGAGGCGGAAGACAAGAATGCCAGGAAATCCTTACCCTCTTTTTTCCCGTGTAGTAAAGGACAATTACCCCCACCCTCCCCTGATCCTATATTTATACTATCAGAGCAGATTAAAGGCTTGGGAAGGCGTGTTTGTGCCCCGCCGATGTCATCTGGTGGGAGGTGGACAGCGATTCATAGGGAAGAAAGGCGTAGCCGCTTAACCCTTCATGGCCGGCGTATTGTTCGCGGTCATGGTTCTCCTTCCGTGTGGGCACACACCCTCGTGTTATTGGGGGGCAGGTGTCTATGAGGGGGGGTGCCTGCACCATGCATTGACATGGAAGCCTGGCCACGCCTCCCATTCAATGTATAGAGCATGGCATTTGTGGGAACAAGGGGGCTTATTATTGAATAAAGACTATAGGGGACTATATAAGCATCATGGAGATGGAATATAAAGGAGGATATCCTCCTCACAGAGCCTGTGCTGTGCCTTCCCTTTCATAGAATGCGAGCATGGAGCTGAGGTAGAACTAGGGTTGCCACCTGTCCAGTATTCACCCAGACAGTCCAGTTTTGGAATCTTGTGTCCAGGTTTCAGGTCAGCTGACACCCAGACATAACACACTAAGTGTCAATCCCAGAACTTTAAATTTTTTGACAGAAGCAGCTGCCTCTGAGCCGTGGGTGTCTGTAAACGGGCACCAGCCCGCACATCTCTTCCAGCTTCTTCCTGTCAGCACGTTGCCCGCCTCCGGACCCCAGGCAAGACCCCTGCATTTCTCGCACAGCTCTCCTGAAAGCCTGCATAGCCCACCTGAGACCCCACACAGACATCTGAGAGCCCTTATAGTCCACCTGAGAGTGCGCATAGCCCACCTGAGAGCCTGCATAGCCCACCTAAGCATGCCCATAGCCCACCTGAGAGCCATCAGAGTCCACCTGAGAACCTGGAGACATCAGGGCGCAACCCCGGAACAACACACAGTATGTATAATGTATTGCTGGGATTTGTAGTCATATATAGCCAGTCTCTTTACTCCCTCTCCTGGCTGTCGCTTCTTGCTCTTTCTCCTAGCTGTCTCTCGCTCTCTCCTCTATATTCTACAAAATAAATTTGCCGCACGCGGCACTAGGGTGTTTGGGTTTCACTTGAAGAAAAGGTGGCAACCCTAGGTAGAACACGTGTGAGACTCTCATACGCAAAGGGCTTCCTCCTTCCTGCAACAGTGCACACAATAAAAAAGCATGCAGAGACTGAAGTCCCAACTGTTGGCCATGCACATGACAATATTCACATTTCTGCCAGTTTCCACTAGCTTTTGTGACTGAAAACAAATGGGGGCAATTTATTCAAACTGGAGCTGACAGAATCTGGAGCAGTTGCTCATAGTGACCAATCAGCTTCTCTCTTCAGTTTGTTCAGTTAAGCTTTGAAAATGAAAGAGAGAAGCTGATTGGTTGACATGCACAGCCACTCCAGATTCTGCTCCAGTTTTTTAATAAATTCCCCGCAAAGGTTGGCAAACACTGAAAAATGTGTCCGTTTCTATATACTTGCTTAACGAGTGAGTAAAAAACAAAACTCCCCTTGCAGTGGGGCTACCCCTGCACTGCAAGGGTTAAAGGAGAATTATGGGGAGTGAAATACACTCATCCCCATAATTAGCGCCAATGTGTGTTACTGAAGCTGTGACATGTCGGCTCTATTGATCGAGAAATGAGCGATCACATACAGCTGATCGCTCAGTTCCTGATCTTCTCCCTACAGAGAGCAGTGACTCCCTACAGAGAGCAGTGACTATCAGTCACCGCTCTCCGCAGGGATTCCCCAGCGCTGACTGGAGGAACAGACAGCAGAGAGGTGGGCACAGGTGGCTAGAGCCAGCTGTCAATCAGGCCGCAGGTTGGATCATGAAAATATTCCTCCTGGCTACTCCTTCCCTCCTCTGCACTGTCAGCATATAGCGGGCCATAAAAATTGTGTCACCCAGCAATTCATGAATCTGTTGTATGGTGGTGTGCCAGATAGGAGTGCCTCTGACATAAGTCTGAGGTAATCTTTTGCTGGGATCATCCTGAATTGTTTCATTCACCTCTTCTTCATGCATTGCCGCACCTCGCTGTCGCCCTTCCTCACTGCAGTATTTGCACCACTACACTGTAATAGTTTATATTTCAGAAACGTTTTTAAATTGGAACATTTGCACAAGTGTTTCACCATGTTGTTGCACATGATCGGACAATTATAGGAACCGTCGCACAGCACTTGATGTGATTTGGCACAGCTGATGGAACACCGCTTAGAACTGTTCATTTGGTGCAAGGAAAATGCGCCAATATTTACACCACAGTGTTCCTCTCGCTGCACACCAGTGGCTGTTCAGTGCTTTACCAGACCAAGCTGTTCAGGGGGCAGCTTTCCCGACAGGCCACTTTGACAAAACTCAATTGAAAAACAGACTTTTGTTGAATGGAAGGTCGGCAGGACTTGGTTGAAATTCAAGCAGTGTATGGTCAGCTTTAGGTTTTAATGTGAAGGCCACGTATGTAAAGTCCACCTATCACTAACCCAGGGGCATCCCAAGGCCGGGTGTCACCCGGGGCGGGGACCGGGTGACACCCCGCAATGACATCATCGAGCATGCGCGTGACGTCACCATGTGCGCGCACAATGACGTCATCGTGCATGCGCGGTCATCTAATTGACACCTGCCGGCGGCCATCTTTGTGATGGACGGCGGCAGAGAGAGGAGGGGGACGTTCACCCGGTGGGATGAGGTATGCCACCGCGTCCCCTCCTCTCTCCTGACACTGTCAGACTCTCGGTCCATGACCGAGTGCCTGACTTTTAGAGCGGGTGACACCAAAATGACCGTCAGTCATTTTGGTGTCACCCCTCCAATGGTGTCACCCGGGTGCGGGCCACTCCCCCCGCACCCCCATGGTGACGCCACTGCACTAACCCCTCCACAGGGTGGCAATGCTGCTGTCCAAGGGTGGCGTCATTGCTTCTCCATATAAAGGAGACACCTTTGGACAGCAGCAAAGTCCCACTGCAAGGGTTAATAAAACATTTACCCAGAGTTCTTCTTGAAATAATTTGTTTCTTTTTCCACTGCTATTTTTCCTTTATACTTGCTTCTAAATAGTTTTACATTCTATATATTTTTGAGGGTAGACATAAACTATTAATGTAACCCTGTTTATATTTTTAATCTGTTTATTTCTTGATTTTCGAGCTCTGTACTTCACAACAGAAGGGAGGGACAGAGGGATTTGGTTACAAAAGAAGGACAGATGGGAGCTATATGATTTGATACATCCAAGTGAACCAAAAAAAAGATACATGTGGAAACATTCTACCACTGATAGCACAAATGCCATCTTGAAGTTCTTGTATATTTAGCACATTGCAAAGAAGTTACATGTCACCGATAAGCATCAGGGCTTGTTCACACCAAATGCAGACCAGATCTGTATGCGTTTCTGCACACGCAGTGCAGTGTGTTTTGCCACGTTTTTGCCGCGTTCCGGGCCGTTTTTGTAAAAAAAAAATATATATATTTTTTTTGCCTAAGGGCTTGTTCACACCGAATGCGGTGCCTTCCGGAGCGGTAGCTGCTGGAACGCACTGCAATCCCTCACAAAACCTCCCCCTGGGTTCCGGGGCGGGAGGGGGTGTGGCGGTGCAGTGAATTCAATGGCACTGCTTCCACGCCCGCAGTGCGATCGGAGGGGTGGCAGAACTTTGTCTACGCTCCGTTCCACTGCAAACACAAAAAATGCTGCTTGCACTTTGCAGTGGAACGGAACGCAGGCAAAGTTTTGCCACGCGTCAGGTCGCATTGTGGGCAGGGGGAGTGTGGAAGGGGTGCCATTGAATTCAATGCACCGCCACGCCCCCTCCCGCCCCAGAACGTAGGGGGAATTTTTGTGAGGGATTGCGGTGCTACCGCTCTGGAACGCACCGTATTCGGTGTGAACAAGCCCTAAAATGGGCTTCCAGTGTGTTCCAGTGCGTTTGCATGCATTTTTTATGCGTTTGCATACATTGCAGAGCATTCCAGAGCAGGTAAAATAGGTCTTACTGCAGTTTTTTTTTACATGCCCTGGAACTGAATGCTGCAGTGTGAACTAGAGCCCAGAATACCAGTGGAATACATTGGATGCGTTTTTGATGCGTTCTGCAACTGCTCTGCTCTACATTTGGAACGCATTTAGTGTGAACAAGCCCTCAAGCACGTGTATTGTTGTGTGGATTTTTGGAACTGATTGCACCGCACTTTAAACTGTTAACTTTACTTATTTAGAGCGAGATTCCGCAATCTACCCCTAAAGATGCCCATACACTGCACGATTCTCATACGATAATCGCGGGAAATCGTGCAGTGTGAATGAAGACGTGCGACCGTTTCTACTGTACGGTCACACGTCTTTTGTCTAAGGAGCATGCTAGAAAACCTCGTACGATTTTCGGCTGGTTTGAATGATGCTCGGGAGACAAATGCCGAACGGGCCGGTGTGCGCACGCGCACACTACCCATTCAGCATTGCGGTCATTGGAAGCCCGCCCCTCAGTATGTATGTGTGTGTATATGTGTATGTGTATGTGTATATATATATATATATATATATTTCTTTTTTTTTTTCCAGTTTTTAGTGAAGACTGGGTGTTGCTACATGACCCAAACTAAAGGGAAGTATATTTCTTATTCTGAAACAGACAACAGATAACATGTAGGTCTTGAATGTACATTTCTTTTTATGTTATCTGACATGCCCCAAGCACAGAAAATTGATTGGGACACTGGAGCTCACTGCATGACCAACACTGCTTGAGAGATGTTCAGCACAGCATTCAGAAAGACCGTACAACCATTGGAACATAAAAGTAAACTGACAGCTTTTGTAAAAATATTTATTTTAATTTTGACTCACAGCATGTATGGGAGATTAACTGTCTGATTGCTTGAAGCACTGAAGCGGGATTTATAACTAACACAGTCATAGAAATGTTGTTGGCACTGTGGCCTGAAATTTAAAAGGAACATGTCTACATGTAGTAGGCCACTTACATCAATGTAAATTTAATCTTTAAAGAAAAAATACACACACACACATCAGTCTATTACCAACCACATCAAAGAAAAATATGCATTGAGGCCAGCCAGCCAGCTTTTGAGAAAATGTTTAGCCTATAGGTCCATCCTAGTGTCTGTGGTGTGTTTATGAGAAATGTATGTGCACTTATGACACACTTGGCCAGATAAAGTAAGATTGGCGGTTGTTGAGGAATGCAAATTGTTGC